CTCAGCGTTATTTCCCTATATCTAGATCAACACAGATCTCACAGAACAAAAAGAACAACAGCAATGGCCGAGAGGTTAGCGGTAGGCGCGCCGAGTGGAGACGAATGAAGCACGGTTCAACTCCGGCCAGAGCTTAGGGTTTTGCACCTCATTCAACGTTTTTAGACATATATGGTTATAGAATCAAAATCCTGCTAAAATGGGTGGTAAATAAAGAAATTTTGTCGACTGAATAGCCAACAGAATAATGATGGCTTACTTGGTCGAGCGTCTTCTCCAATACTGTTAGTGGCCGTCGTCGAACACGGTCGAGAGTTTATTACAGCAGACATCCACCTGGAAAAGCTATGGATGATTTTTTAAACGGAAAAAGGTATTACAGAGATATGAACGGAACCTTAGAGAGAGTAGAGACGACGCCAAAAAGTCAGAGAATCAATTTCAGTGCTGAAGGGGGGTTGTTGACAGGGGTGACTAAGAAGATAAGAGCATTATTTTGCCAGAGTGTTCGTTCCCCTTCAAAGAACTCTGACTCATCGTCACCCCTGATATTTTTACTCTAAGCCTCACAATCCCTGAACTTCTTAAATATCCATGGAAGTGAAGAATTTCTCCAAATAAAGATCTGAACGCTATACGAGATTTCTGCCATTTTAAACGACATTATTAGGTTTTCTCATAAGTTCTGGCACTAGAGCAACAAACATCGAATTTATTGATAATTACTAAAAATACTGATTTGCACTGTTAAATCAGAAGAATCAATTTCCATTATATAATTACATAGAGCGCGTGTAGCGTAGTGGTTAGAGGTGCTCAACGAGGCACATAATCCGATCAATTAGTGGACGATGGTTCGATCTCGCGCTCGGGGGCTCACCTAGCCTTCCAGTGTCTCCAGGGTCGGTGAACTGGTACCAGACTTATCTGAAAGGAAACATCAGCACTGACTTGATACATCGCTAGGCCACTATGAGTCATTGTAAAGGCCGAATATGAATTCAGTCACCACTAGCGATGCTACGAATAGAGACGAATGCATAGCGCATTTCTCAGGGGAGAATAATGCCGAGAGTTTATCCTTTACATTACATATACCTTATGATTCTATCAACCCACAAGTCGATCGTTTCTTGTCTCTTCCGTATTTTTATACTATTAGGTCTTCTCATAAGTTTTGGCATTGGTGCGAATAAACACCAAATATATTAACTAGAAGTGATTAAAATTGCTGAACAACACTATCCAAAGTGTGCGCCATGCGCCTGAACACATTTCTGTCATCTCTCAGGCAACAAATCAAAACCGCGCTTATAGAACTCGTCATCCTTGGATTCCAGGAAAGCTGTCAATCCTCGAGCAGATGTTCGGTGTCTCGGGACTTCTTCTTGCTCAGAAAGAGCTCCGGGACCAGAAGAGGTGATAGTGAGACGGCGACAAGTCAGGACTGTATGGCGGACGACAGAAGCGACAAAACCGTGAGCCAAATCTAGCTGATTATTTAGTGATTTAGAATTATTCAAATACTTTCCTTCCTTTTCCTTTTTTCCTTTCTTTCCTTCTTTTCTGCTTTGGTTACGGAAGTGTTTGACTAAGTTGGATGTAGGTCATAGTATACCTTCATTTCGAGAGTTTCGTTCAGACCACGCTTAAATTTCAATAGATCCTATGATTTTAATTGAGCCAACATGTCATGTGGTCTGGTAAGGGCTCTTGTTCAGCCCGATACACGTGTTTCGTCCTTACAGACTCGTCAGTCGGGCAGAACCTGTCGTCTTTCGATCTTATTATTATTAGTCATTTCTCTCGGGAGCCCTACTTTCCCTACAGAGAGTTATCGAAGACGAACGCTTTACACTCTATGACAACCCTCTGTGTTAGGTGAAAATTTCACTTGACATAGAGTGTAAAGTGTTCGTCTCTGATAACTCTCTGGGAAAGTAGGGCTCCCGAGAGAAATGACTAATAACAAAAGATCGAAAGACGACGGGTTCTCCCCGACTGACGAGTCTATAAGGACAAAACACGTGTATCAGGCTGTACAAGAGCCCTTACCAGACCACATGACATGTTGGCTCAAATAAAATGAAAGTATCGATTGTTGTAGGTCAGTCAGACTATTTCAGGTCAGACTCTAAAGAAGGCAAGACTGCCGAAACGACAGCCACGGATACGATCTCTATTGTACTACTTTGTACAAAATAAACTTGAATTAAAAATCTCGTGTGTGCTGAAGCAAAGAAAATCACGGCATCTAACAACTCCCAGCCCACCTCGGTCAACTTCCTCTTTATCAATTTGGCGACATGCACCATGACGTTGTCCTAAAGCAGGATGACTACGAGTTGGGATGCGATGCACAGACCGCCTTTCGAGAACATCAACCTGGGCAAAGGCTCAAGGATTTGTGTCCGGAGAGACGATCAACGCCAAGTGGCGCCACTGGTGAGCACCTGGACCGCTGCAATGGGACTCTGTCACGTCGATGTCAGTGCAATCTCATACCTGCATCAAGACAACAACGCAAGGCTGCATGTAGCCAAATTGACAACGAGGAAGTTGACCGAACTGGGCAGGGAGTTGCTGGATCATCCTGCCGTACAGTCCAGACTTGTCGCCGTCTCACTACCACCTCTTCCGATCGCTGGAGGGAGCACTTCCCAAGCCGGAAGAAGTTCCAAGACGTCAATCATTTGCGTCGAGGATTGACACAACTCTCTTCCAATCCAAGGATGACGAGTGATGAGCGCGGTATAGATTTGTTGCCTGATAGATGGCAGAAATGTGTCAGGCTGATGACAGACACTTTGAACGTTTAGCAAATTCGGTGTTTGTTGCTCTAGTGCCAAAACTCATGAGAAGACCTGTCACCTGAGTCACCTGTCGCATCCTGTTGATCGTCGAGTGACTCGAGCGGGTACCAGCAATACCATCTACGCGTGCAAGAGTACCATGGGTCCTCCTCGCTCTGGGGATTCGCTGCGCATCATATCCTTCTTCTAGAGCTCTCGTGAACAACTCGGACCAACGGCGCGGTGGTCTTCCTGTAGAGCGCTTGACGTCCCGAGGAGTCCAGTCGGTAACGGCTCTCGTCCATCGATCGTCGTTGAAGCGCATCACGTGTCCGGCCCACCTTATATTCGATATCCTGGCGTGCAGAACCGTGTACACGCCAGGTTATGAGAAGACCTAATATCATAGAAATACGAAAGAGACAAGGAACGATCGATCCGTGGATTGATGGAAATATAAAATAGATGTAGTAGAAAGGATAAACTCTCGACGTTGATCAATCCGCGAGGGATGCGCCATGCATGGTCTCCATTCGTAGCAACGCTGAAGGTGAATGAATGCATATCTGGCCTTTACAATGACTCGCGGTGGGCCTCCCGCTGAACCGAGTCAGTGCTGCTTATCCTCCAAGACAAGTCTGTGACCTGTTGGTACCAATTTGCCGACACCGGAGGGATGGATGGCTTGCTGAGCCATGAGCGCAAGGTCGAACCATCGATCGTTGTCGGCGACGCAGAGCAGCTCTAACCACTGCGCCACGTGCGCTCACCCGCTTTATTAGTAATATAATATGAACATCGATTCCTTCTAAATGATAAGAGGCACTCTAATGAGCTTGAGAATGTCAGAGGAGGACAGGGATGTGATCGATCGATCGATGGATGGATGTATGGATGGAAGGAAGTTTCCGGGAGAGGAAATGACGTGCTCGTATCGATTATCACCCATATCGGGCTTCTGTTGCCCTATCTCTAGTCTCAAATAAGCCACAGATACGGAAGAAAATTCGATCTCTCAGTGGTCGAAATTTTGCTGAAATTTTCGACAAAAAAAAAGGATCGAAAAAGGGAGATTTTATGCCTATCAATAATGGAGCAAAAAAAAACGACGGGGAATTTTTGTGTGAGAACAGCCACATCAAAAAGAAAAAATCGCTGGAATTTTGTGGAAGAAGAACGGAAAAACGGTAAGGAAAAGAAGGAGAAGAAAAAGGAAGAGGAAAAAGGAAAAAAGGAAAATGAAAAGAAAGACGAAGAAAAAGGGAAAAGGCCGCAACTTCTGCCGGACGCGGCCTTGATTTAAAAAAGTGAAAATCTATGGCGCTTATGATTTCCCAGGTCGAAAAATTTGTGAAAAAAGTCAAATTCGCGTCAAATTTTCGAGAAAAAAAAGGCAAATGAGAAGAGAACGAAGGACTTATAAATTCGTTAGAACTATATTCGCTAGCAGTGAGAGAGTTTCTGGAATTTTCGGATAACGAGCGGCATGAGCCCATGTCACAAAGGCTTTTTGGACTACCGCCTCTTGGAGAGAACGCGATTATATCCTGCGAGGTGAAAAAATAAAGGAAAAAAAGAAGAAAAAACAAAGTCGGAGGGAAAAAGTGATCGATCTACTCCAAGTATGACTTCATCAAAATGGACTCAGAAAATAGGATCGAGAGATCAAGTACGCCTGGCGACCTGCCAGCCGGTAGATCACAAGTAGATCACGACATCGAGGCTCAAATCCAGAAAATGGAACGCCCTGTATAGAGAAGTTCTCGTCGACGATAGGGGAACAGTGAGTTGGATTTGCACATTGCTCTAAGAGATTTGAGACCTTCAGAAAGCACAGAAATGAAGCCGAAAGGACAACGAAAACAACAGCAAATAAAAAACAAACAAATAGACGAGTAAACAAGTAAACAGGTCAACATACAAGTAAACAAACAAACAGGAACAACAACAACAGAAAGACGACGAGGCTCATTTGAACGGACCAGTCGAGCTTTTCGAGGCAGCAGCGACCAAATATCGAATTGCGATTGGAGCACGTCAGCCGACGACCGAAAGGAGGAGGAATTCAGTGATCTGCGACTTTCCTTGGCTAGACAAATATCCTGCGTTATCTACACGAATTCTCGTCTTTTACTGCATTGGTGGCGGTTCTATGACGTCATAGCTGTATAACCAAGACTGTACAGTGATATACAAAGACTTGCTGAGAGCATCAAGCGGGAGTTGAACCCGCGTCTCACGCTTTCCTGGGCGCGTACTAACCACTGCACTGGAGCTCCGTAGCCCTACTCCGTATTAGTACGCAGAGGAACATAGACGAAGTTTTATTCGAGTGAGAAAATACGTTCTGAACTTAAACAGTAATGGTTGACTCTAAACTAAACAGGAGTGCCGTAGCCGGCCGAGTGGTTGTGATGCTCGTTGCGGCGCGCGTGGAGCCGAGCTCCACCCCTCACCCACTCTCCGGCAGCCAACGAGAGCGCCCACGGAACGCCACAGCCTGGCTATCCTCCTCGAGATTGCAAGGAGACATGCTCAGGCCAGTATTCTACGTCATTCAGAAAGAAGACGAAAACAAAGTGGAGTGCTAGAAGTACCGGGATCCGCACAATAAAAATTGTGATAACGGGTCTTGTAAATGAAAATCAATAAAAAATTGCGACTTTTGGTAGAGTACTTGTTCCTGTAAAACGTTACAGTGTTATCTGCTTCTCGCTTCCTGTATGATGACTCCAGGCAATTCACGTTTTCTCTCAAGCTTCTGAGGACCAGCACTGATAGGCAAGCGGCGCTGCGCCGCTGCTTTCCCACGAGACGCAAGCGCCATTACCTGTTCAAGCATGTGTGGCTGTCTGCCTGCTTTCCCATGAGAACGCGGCGGCGCCGCTACTACAGTGCCTCGGTGAGATTTGACGTCGTGTGGTGAGAAGCAAAATAACTCTCATCCATGGTCCCTAAAGGACTTGAAGGACCCTATACGGTTCAGAGCAGAACTTGTCTTGAAGAATTCGTTCTTTTGCGGTCCTCCTTAAGAACAAAGTCATTTGTATTACTGATCCTTTTTATTTTGAAGGTCGTTCACGCTCTACTCTAGACATAATCTCACTGGATCTCAAGAAGTGGTCAGTTGTATAATAACAGCCTCCAATCGACTGAGTTTTAGACCTCGATTAAAATCCATTATAATCTGATAAAATAATCTAAGCTAACCAGAGCTGTGCGCGTATTCTCGCACACCTCATCATTACCACATGCCTTTCGGTCCACCCCTACAATTAATGGTAGAGGTGCCAAAGATGTATCAGGGTGGACCAAGTGAAAAGATTCGCTAGATGCTACGGTCTAGACCGAATTTCGGTCGATGGCTCACGACTGGTAACAACGCATATAGCAGTATAATCCAATCGACCACGTTTTGGACCTGGCTTAAAATTCAATATAGTATGATAGAATGTTTGAAGCGGAAGGCATGTGGTATTGATGAGGCTTGCGAGAGTACGCCGAAAAATCCGTATATCACTAGAGATACCGTAGCAGACCTCTGAAAGGCTTGAAACATTCTATCAAATCAGTCAAAGTATAAAGTTCATACCAGTGAGTACGATTTCCCATGAGAACCAGGTGTTAGCTCATCTGCTGCTGCAAAATCAAATGCACCAGAGCTTCTCAGACGAATAAGTCAGCCTAAGAATTATTGTTAGCTGATCGGTGGCTTTGAGAGGTTCAAAGGCTACTTTACTTTTTCTCTTGAATTCATTTAAGCGCTCCTCATCTTCAGTAAAATGCTTCGTTATATGTGCGACATGGTTTCCGACTGATTATCCCTTTGCAAGCTATGATGGTCATTTCGATCCTCAATTTTTCAGAGGTCTTTTTTCACTGAACAAGGTTTTTTAACTAGAACTCAAATAATTATGCGAAAGCGCAAATCTCTGGGGATTTCGACACTTTGGACTGATTTTGAAAAAGCCTTCAGACTACGATGTAGCAGCAATAATAAAATTATGTTTCACACTCTGTTCACCTTGTTTGCTCAGCCAGACTTTGTGGATCGCTTTTTATTGGAATACACTGAGCTCATTCGATAGCCCAAATCTCGGTAAATTAGATGCCTAAATTGGTTCTTAAAAAGGCTTCCATAGGTCATTTTGAGAGCAAAACTAAAATTACGTTTTACATTTAGAGTTTTCTTTGCAATTAGTAGATATATATGCACAAAAAGTATATAGTTTTGTAAAGAAAATCATGTTCTACTAGAATGGCACGAAGAACCTAGAGTATTTTTTGAAACAAAGAAAAAATTTTTGTTGAAGAACAAAAATCGCGCGCCACTGGCGATATCGATTATGCTGCCGTCTGCAAAGGATTAACCGTCAGCTTAACTGAATATGCTGATAACTCGACTATCCAAGCTAGCCTGGCTCTTTGAACCATTTTGGACCTGATAATGATTTTTACCATTTTGGACCGTCTAAAGAGAGCGTGCTATTGAAGCGTTGTCTCTGTATACCCCTTTCGATTTATATTCTTCGTGAGACTCGAAAAAATGTGGCCTAACAAGCTTCTTAGAACAGTTGTTCAGTTACTGGATTCAAAAACAGAAAAAGAAGGAGAGGAAGAGCAGGAATTCAAGAATGAAAAAAATTCGCTCTAGAGAGCGGGTGATTAGTGCATGGACATTACGCGTCCATACTGGGCCGGAATCGTCGGCCAATGTCTGTTTTTTCCGCCATCAAACAAATCTGACGAAAAAAGGATGGTGTCTTACTGATCTGAAAGAAAACCTCGTTAGCTTTTCTACAGCACTAGTACATAGAAAAGTTTCTGTGATAAGCATACAACTCAAATGGATAGTTTATCGCTAATGTCAATCATAATGGTCGACGTAAACGAACGAACGCTGTCTGCTCGATATGAGGTAATACCAGTGGTCTGATCCGAGGATAGCCTGTCATTTCGGTTGGAAGAAGAAACAAGTTGGGTACTGTTAAATATTCAGGACATCTATGTCATCACTTTCATACCAGACTTATCGTCAGACTTAGAGAACGTATTTCAAGAGAGTGAAGGATAAAGGTAACGAAAGAAATCGCGCCGACAGAATTTTTCTTTCCGTCCTGTCTAAAAGGAGCACTGCCAGATGAGTATCTCATCTGAGTGGTGCTTTTCGCGAGAGGATCCGTTGTGAACAGCAATGAAGTCCACAACGAGAACAAACGACTGTGGAGCATCGGCTTGGGTCTGAAGGAGGCGAAATACGTGGAAACGTCGGCCGAGTAAATGAGTCTTCTATAACTTCGTGCATTTCGCTTGATTAAGGAAGCTAATGTCATTGATAGAAGTAGTCACAGTTGAATGGAAGCCAGTTTTCAAATCTCCAAATTTTCTTTTGCCCTTGTTCCACTGGTTGATCGGGCTATATGCCATTGTCTAATTGAGAATGAAAACTTATTGACGATTTTTTGAATCGAAATTGCGAGTATCAAAAGTGCAATGGGAGGTCGAATAGTTTCAAGGAATTTGATTGAACATGTGATTAGAGGGACAAGGAAGTAAGTTAAGAATCGAGCGATGGTAGTCTAAATCTCAGTATAGTGAGAGTACGAGACGCTTCAATATTCCTCCCAGTCTAAAAGCCTACTTGTAGGATTTATCAGATCTGTGAATTAGTCAGGCCAGTGATAGCTACTTGAGACCTGTATAGGCACTGAAGATCACACGTTGAGCGGCCTGATGTGTCATCGTTATGCAACGTGTGAGAGGAATTCGTTCTTAAACAAATTCAATTAGGCACGCACGTTGGCAATGTGATTGGTCTTTGTGGTCCGACTAGGTTACACGGGGTGGTTCACGATGTTCCATAATGACTTCGTCACGTGATAAAGGCTATTCGAACAAATGCAGCTTCTCTCAACGGGACCGCATGACATTGTTGTCAGTCCATACGATGTGGACAAATTGAACGAGTTTGAGCTCAGTACCACCGCACTTGGCCAGAGATTAGGCGTATCTTTGAGCTGCTTCTACGCCTAGTCAGATGCTATGCATTCATTATTTTAAGTTTATTTCACCCACAATAACTCAAAAATTTGTTCCCCATTTTTCCAGAGGATAGGTCTTGAAGTTCTTGGATATTTTCGGTATCACCTCACTGATAAAATTACCTAGAGAGAGAGCTTTCATGAACGATCAAATTCAGCTTTTTGTGCCATTTATCGAGTGGACCTTGTGTGTTATAGGCGAATTGAAATGTTGACGAGGTGCTGTTCTTATCGCTGAGGTCGTATACCTTTTCCTTTTGGTTACATCCCATCTTACCTTCAGATTGATCTCCAAAATTTTGTTTAACAGAGAGAAAAAATGCACTACTTTCGACAATTTACACTTTCTTTTCATCATCAAACTTTTTATATTTGGGGAAAATCACCATCATTTCATTGTGGTGCTATGTGATTGAAAATTGGCTCTTCGATATACATTCAAGGGAAATCTCGTGCCTATTTATTTATCACAAGTCTCTTTACTTACGATGACTTCACAGCGCTCTTGGCGGCCATCTGTGATGTCGTACTAGTATGTACCAACCATTTGTGTAGGCGTTTATCTGCTCGAGCTTGTCATTGCATAGAGGGATAAGCGCAAATGAGACATTCGGCTATATAACATGGGAGAACTCCTATTAGATACCAAGTATATCTAAGTTGTAACTTTTACTATTTTTCTCTCGAGACTAGTATGCATATAATTGATCCCTTCTTATTTGAATAGGGCAAAGAACATTGAACATGAGTAACCACTGACTGCTGTCAAAGCTGTTCCACGCAGTGAACAAGTATATCAATACAGCTTTCCTATCCTCCATTCACGAAAATGTCAGCTTCTCAAATCGATCAGCTAAATGTTCATCTTGCTCATCCACAATTTCTTATTCACTTATACTCTCCATTGAAGTTCAGAAAACTTTTCTACTGAGTTATCCAACTAATTTGTAATGGTTTTAGCTTAGTTCTTTGTTCGACAGTTTTCTAACCCGTTTTTGGGTATATCTGGAACATCATGCCACCGCTAAAAAGCGCTTGAATACGAGAAAAGAATGCTTGTCGATCAAACATTTCCAATGTGTGTGTACGCTAAGTGGGATTAATGCCAATATGGCTTGCAAAGTCAAACCGTTGACGGTTGGTTGCTGACAGATTGATGCGTTTTAGCATGAAAAGAGTGGTGGCAAAAACAAGCATTAGTAGTGCGACTGGCATGAGCACGCGCCCCCGGAAGG